TTGTTATCAGTCATGTTCTAATGACTTTCATAAACCTCTGTAAGAACTCACGAGCAACGATTGCTTTGAAAGTCGATCTGTTCTCTCCTGAGTAAACGTGATATTGAAGTTTAGTGAACAGGTAACTACATACATTAGAAAGAGCAGCTTAAAAGTGAAAATTCGATTTTCGTCAAAAAATGTGTTTTTTGGACATTCTGGGCCAGCCTCATGAAAGATAGCAAGAAGACAAAATCGATTTCATACTTCCGATAAAAGCGTCAAAGTCATATACATTTATTTGAAGTTGTTTTTTAAAACAATAATTGTCGCTATTGTTATCTTTGGTATCACACATTTATTCAGACGTTATATTTCTAAAGAGAGGTAGGGAGAAAGCAATTGAAGGAACTAGAGGGGGGGTGGTGAAATTACCTGTGAAAGGAGGAGGGTTCAACACAAATCTGGATCAAAAGCCAATAGTAGTTACAAGAAGCCAATGTTATGTATTTAATGAGTATAGGTCGAAGTCATGTTATTCTATATCCAATAGAATTGTGCAAATGATTAAAAAAAAAAAAAAAAAAAACATTGTAGGAACGAAACCTTAAAATTAAATCCAAAAGGGTACCTAAACTAGTTTCTCATTTTTCAATAAATTTCGTTTGTAAATTGTGTTTTTTTCTACCATTCAGAATTATGCTTACAGTCTTGTAGTAATATACGGATAAGAATGGAAATAAAGGGTAAAAATGACCCAAATTATTCTTTAAGAAAGGATATAGGGTATATTTTTTATATAACGTTTTCATGTAGCATTTATCGTGAGATTATTTCAGTTTGTAAGAATTCCATATAGATTTCAAGTCAAGAATATTTTCTAGAGAACTTTTCTAGGGGATAGAATAAAGATATTTCCTGTGATTTTAATTATTTTATTTTAAAAAAATGATGATTTTGGATGTACGTTTCATCACATACATACCTATTTTGTTAGATGATATTATTTGTTCTTGACTATTTGTAATTTTCAACATACTTTTTTATTCATCATTTTCGGGAACTGTTATCTGAACTTTATTTTCTTTCATTTCACTCAGATTGGTAAACACATCGTGGATGTTTGATTCAAACACGAATCCAATAGATGAGTTTCCATCCAAAAGTGTCGTTTTTTTGTGAGGAAGATTAAGGAGGACAGGAAAGTTGGAGTTACTCCTCATCAAGCTTGATGACGGGGGCGCCGACGAGGCCAGGATAGTGGGCGTATGGAAGAGCGTGGGTGTAGGGAAGGGCGTGGGTGTAAGGAAGGCCATGGGCGTAGGGAAGGACGGCGTGGGAGAGAGCAGTGTAGGTGACGGGCTTGACGTTGACCACGGGCTGCACGTACTTGACGGCGGGCACGGAGATCTCGTGCTCCTTGGTGGTGAGTTCGATCTTGGTGGTGTCGGCGGGGGTGTTGGCGTCGATGGGCTCGAACTGCTTGGTCTCCACAGTGTGCTTGGTGACGGTGGGCACGGCGTGAAGGTATGGGAGAGGGATCTGGACGTCGCGACGACGACGACGTGCCTCTTCTACAGCTGGCTCTTGTTCTTGCTTTTGGTAAATGTAGGGGAACTCTGTGGCCTTGAGAGTATCATCGGCGTTGAAGATGTAGGGGTAAGCTCCATAGGGGTAGCCAGCGTGGTGGAAGGCATAGGGGGAAGCCACGAAGGGATGTCCGAAGGGGTGGGCGTAAGGGGAGACCAAAGAGACGGTCTTAAGGTCGGTCTTGACATCAGGAGTAGTGATCAGCTTCGCTTGAGGCAGCACCCAGGGCGCCGTGTACGGCAGCACCAGCTGTGCTGAGCAACAGGATACAGCGACCAGAATCACCTATTAAAAAAAAAAAAAAAAGGACATTTAAATAATTTACGAAAAACAAGAATATATGTACACACCAGTTAGTTGACAGTTCGACTGACACGATTTCCTCTTTTATGCTGCATACAACGAAAAATTCCCCTTTAACATAGATTTGAGCAATATAAGAAATATAATGACCCGTCAGCAGTAATGCTAGATATGAGCCACTTCCTTGGTTCAGAAAGTGTCCCCCATAGCCCGGGCGAGGCTCAGCTTCGCATATCGGACTTATCCTTATCCTTCAGAAAGTGAACTGTGGAAATGTTTCCTTTTCTTGCTATATTCACCAAAACCCTTTTCACACTTGTTTCAAACACTTTGTGATTGGAATATCCCCATTCTTACCAGAGCCTTCATCTTTCTACCGGGTGTGTCGTTCTACTGGACACTGCGATACGTCTGCTATATATACTTCGTGAACGGTGACGTCATGAGGCTCCGCCCAAGTGTGTCCTTCAGAGTATTTCTCTCTTCTTGCCTTATAAGTAATGAACTGAATGTGCAGTTATTATGCATGTTCTAATGACTCGTAAAATATAAAAAACTCAAAAACAGCTATTGCCTCGATTAAAAAAAAGAAGAAAATGATTTGTCCTAAAGAAACATGACACTGAGGTTTGGATGAGTTAACAGATATTCAGTTAAGTAATTGTCATTTCATAATCTAAGAAATGAAATGCCTGTATCAATAAAAACAGCTCAAAAGTGAAAATATGGATTCTTATTAATGAAAACTGAAATATTGCGATTTTCGAATAAACTGGCATTTTTCTGTCATTTTGAGCTAGGCCAATGAAAGAGAGAGAGAGAGAAATACTTCCGATACAAATATCAAAGGCAAGCAGATGTTATTGTTATCATTTAAAAACAACTTATATTTGACGTTATATTTCTAAGGAGAGACAGGGAAAAGGCAATTCCTGGAACTAATCGGCAGTTCATTTCCCTAAGTCAGTAGTTCCCGATCTTCTTAAAGCACACAATGGCTGAGTTTACGTATTCTCTCCTGCACCTCTATCACAGATATTCGATCCAGTTTTCTCTTTACTATGAGGGCAGCCAGGTCGCCAGGTCGCCAGTGTGCCAGATGATATTTCAGTTCACTGATTCTGAGATTTCAACTCTGCTTCGCGTTATAACCCCTCTCCACTTCCCAAAGATAGAAAAAGGGAGGAGAGGGAGATCAAATCACTTGTAATAGTATTGGTGTGAAAATTAATAATCGTTTTGGATATGAAAGTTTGCAGACGGACACACATCGCGAGTTCATGATTTATCATTTTGATCTGTAGATATCGTATTATTTGCTTCCTAGCTTTTAAGTACTATGAATAGGATGTGAAGAGCTGCGATGAGGAACCTGTAACTTCAAATGCGAGTTTTAAAGATTTCTTTGAAAGTGAAAATTTTAATATATCTAGTTAGTTATTCGTCAATCTTATTTTAACAGCTGAGGCTCAGAGAGTTATACATACATCCAGACAGTTCTGAGGAATCATTCATAAAGAATGGATATGTAAATCACGTAGTATATCACGTCTATATCCATGTCAATGTCTATAGCTATCTATTTATATACATGTGTATATATATGTATATCTACAAATGTATATATATATATGCCGTATATACACACTAATAAGTTTGGGAAACCTATATACTCACGATGTAAGTAATATACTTATGTACATTTGTTATCAGCCATGCTCTGATGACTCATTAGCCCCTGTAAGAATTCACGAGCAGCGATTGCTTTGAAAATTGATCTGTGCTCTCCTGAGTAAACATGATATTGAAGTTTATTAACAGGTAATGAATGAATTGCCATCTCGTGACCTCATAATTTATGGAAGCAACTGCATATATAAGTATTAGCTTATAAGTGAAAATATGGATTTTTGTCGAATAAAATGGTGTTTTTCGGACATTCTGGGCCAATCCCATGAAAGAGAGCAAGAAGAAAAAATCGATTTCATACTTCCGATAGTAACATCAATCAAACACATTTACTTCAAGTTATTGTTATCATGTAAAACAATAATTGTAGCTATTGTTATCTTTGCTATTACACATTTATTCACGTTATATTTCTAAAGAGAGATAGGGAGGGGGGGGGAGGGATCAAAATACCTGTAAAAGGATTGGTGTAAAAATCTATAATCGTTTTGGATATGAAAGTTTGCAGATGGACACACGTCACTTTATATATGTATATATATAGAGAGATAAATAGATAGATATAATCAGTAGGTATCGTGCTATTTTCCTCTTTCAGACTTTTAAGTATTTCAGATAGTATGAGAAAGGCCTAGATGAGGAACCTGTTACTTCAAACGCGAGTTGAAAAAAAAAAAAATCTGAAAAAGGGAAAAATAGTATATTTAGTTGTTTGTCTTATTTTAGCAGTTGAGGCTCAGACACAACACACACACATCCAAACAGGTCTCAAGATTCATTAAGGAAGAATGGATAGGTAAATCACGTAGTGATCTGTCTATAGCCATTTCAGTGTCTATAGCTATCTATGTATATACATGTATGTATATATATGTATACATACAAATGTATACGTATATGTGCAGTATAGACACACTGATTTTGAGAAGCCTATATACTCATAGTTTATTTACACCCTAGGGTTCAACACATCAATTCAAACCAAAAGTCAAAAGTAAATAGTGGTTACAAGAAGCTGATGTCATATATTTAATGCATGTAGGTCGAAATCATACCATTCTATATGTAATGTGTAAATATTGATATCTATTGAAAAATGTTATTTCCAACAAAATTATGCAAATGATAGAAAAAATGTAGAAACAAGACCTGAAGATTAAATCCAAGAGGATACCTAACTACTTTTCAATAAATCTAGTATGTTAATTGTGCGTTTTCCTACCATTCAGAATTATGCTAATAGTTTTGTAGCAATATGCGGATAACATAATGAAAATAAAGGGTAATAAAGCCTCAAGCTATTCGTGTAGCATTTACTGAGAGTATTTCAGTTTGTGAGAATTCCTTATAGATTTTAAGTCGAGTATTTGTCAGAAAACATTTTCAGGGAATGGGAAAAAGATATTTCATGTGATTATAATGATTTTATTTCGAAAAAAGGTTGATGGTTTTGGATGTACGTATCATATGCACACCTTTTTTGTTAGATGATATTCTGATTTGTTTTTCACTTTGTAATTTTCAGTAGATTTTTATATTTTGCATTTTCGGGAATTACTAACTTTATTTTCTTTCATTTCACTCAGATTGGTAAACACATCGCGTATGTTTGAATTCAACTGATGAGTTTCCATTAGAAAGTGTCGTTTTTTGTGAGGAAGATTAAGGACGACAGAAAAGTTGGAATTACTCCTCGTCAAGCTTGATGACGGGGGAGCCGACAAGGCCAGGATAGTGGGCGTATGGAAGAGCGTGGGCGTAGGGAAGGGCGTGGGTGTAAGGAAGGCCATGGGCGTAGGGAAGGACGGCGTGGGAGAGAGCAGTGTAGGTGACGGGCTTGACGTTGACTACGGGCTGCACGTACTTGACGGCGGGCACGGAGATCTCGTGCTCCTTGGTGGTGAGTTCGATCTTGGTGGTGTCGGCGGGGGTGTTGGCGTCGATGGGCTCGAACTGCTTGGTCTCCACAGTGTGCTTGGTGACGGTGGGTACAGCGTGAAGGTATGGGAGGGGGATCTGGACATCGCGGCGACGACGACGTGCCTCTTCTACAGCTGGCTCCTGTTCTGGCTTTTGGTAAATGTAAGGGAACTCTGTGGCCTTGAGAGTATCATCGGCGTTGAGGATGTAGGGGTAAGCTCCATAGGGGTAGGCAGCGTGGTGGAAGGCATAGGGGGAAGCCACGAAGGGATGTCCGAAGGGATGGGCGTAAGGGGAGACCAAAGGAACGGTCTTGAGATCAGTCTTGACCTCAGGAGTAGTGATCAGCTTCGCTTGAGGCAGCACCCAGGGCGCCGTGTACGGCAGCACCAGCTGTGCTGAGCAACAGGATACAGCGACCAGAATCACCTATTGGAAACAAAAATATTGTGTATACGACAAGCGCTACGCTCAAATAATATCTTAGGAAAAACAAGAATACTTTAGTTTACTATATATACACACACCGTTCAGTTCTCGGATCGACTAGCACACGATTTTTTCTTTTATACTACATATAAGCAAGCTTTTTTCTCCCTTATATTCAGAAGTAAACTATAAATATGGAAAATGAACTGTGGATTTTTTTTCCACCGAATCGAAAGCAGTTTAACATTTGTTTCAAATACTTTCTTTGTGATTGGAATATTCCTATTCTTACCAGAGCCTTCATCTTTCGAGCGAATGTGTTCTCCTGGACACTGCGATACCTCTGCTATATATACTTCGTGGACAATGACGTCACAAGGCCACGCCCAAGTGCGTCCTCCAGGGCATTTCTCTTCGTCTTACGATTTAAGTAATAAACTGAATGTACATTTTTTATTAGCCATGTTCTAATGACTTTCATAAGCCTGTGTAAGAACTCACGAGCAGCGATTGCTTTGAAAGTCAATCTGTTCGCTCCTGAGTAAACGTAATATTGACGTTTAGTGAACATGTAACTAGATATGTTATTAGTAAGAGCAACTTGAAAGTGAAAAAAGAAAGATTTTCGTCAAATATAATAGGTGTTTTTTCGGACATTCTGGGCCAGCCTCAAGAAAGCAAGAAGACAAAATCGATTTCATACTTCCGATAAAAGCGTCAGAGTCAAATACAGTTATTTGAAGTTTTTTAAAACAATAATTCTAGCTATTGTTATCTTTGCTATCACATTTATTCAGACGTTATATTTCTAAAGAGAGATTTGGAGAGAGAAATTCAAGGAACTGGAGGGGGGGGGGGTTACCTGTAAAAGGATTAATGTGAAAATTTATAATCGTTTTGGATACAAGCCACGAGTTTATATACATATGTTTAATCAGTAGATATCGTACTATTTTCCTCCTTCAGACTTAAATATTTCAGATAGGATGTGAACGGACTAGGTGATTTCCGTAATGTGTAATGAGGAATCTGTTACTTCAAACACGTTTTAAAGATTTTGAAAAAAGGGATATTAGTATATCTAGTTTATTGGTCAGTCTTATTTTAGCAGTTGAGGCTCAGATACAGCACACATACATCCAAGAATCATTCAGGAAGAATGGATAAGTAAATCACGTAGTAATCTGTCTATATCCATGTCTACCGCTATGTATATACATGTGTGTATATATACATGTATATATATATATATATACATGTATATATATATATACATGTATACATATATATGCAGTATATACACACAGTAATGAGTTTGAGAAACTCATATACTCATATGTTACCACCTTCAGGTCGTGCACACAAGAGAGGAGGCTTCAACACATAGATTTGAATCAAAAGTCAATTGTAAATAGTGGTTACAAGAAGCCGATGTTATGTATATAATGAGTATAAGTCGAAGCCATGTTATTATGTATGTATTGTGTAAATATTGGTAACTGTTGATAAATATTATTTCCAACAGAATTGTACAAATGATAAAAAAACAACATTGTAGAAACGAAATCTGAAGATTAAATCCAAGAGGATACCTAAACTAGTTTCTCATTTTTCAATAAATTTCGTTTATAAATTGTGTTTTTTCTACCATTCAGAATTATGCTTATAGTATTGTAGCGATATGCGGGTAACAATGAAAACAATGGGTAAAAATGACATTATTTTGTCAGAAAGGGATGTGGGGTATATATATTTTTTTTATATAATGTAGCATTTATCGTGAGGTTATTTGAGTTTGAAAGAATTCCATATAAATTTTAAGTTAAGAGTATTTGTCAGAAAACTTTTTTAGGGAATAGGATAAGGATATTTCATATGAATTTAATGATTTTATTTCGAATGATTTTCGATGATTTTGGATGTACGCCTCATACCATACATACCTCTTTTGTTAGATATTCTTTGTTTTTGACTATTTGTAATTTTCAACTTTTTTATCATTTTCAGGAGCTGTTATCTGAACTTTATTTTCTTTAATTTCACTCAGATTGGTAAACACATCGTGGATGTTTGATTCAAACACGAATCCAACAGATGTATTTCCGTCAAAGTGTCGTTTTTTTGTGAGGAAGATTAAAGAGGACAGGAAAGTTGGAGTTACTCCTCGTCAAGCTCGATGACGGGGGCGCCGACAAGGCCAGGATAGTGGGCGTATGGAAGAGCGTGGGCGTAGGGAAGGGCGTGGGTGTAAGGAAGGCCATGGGCGTAGGGAAGGACGGCGTGGGAGAGAGCAGTGTAGGTGACGGGCTTGACGTTGACCACGGGCTGCACGTATTTGACGGCGGGCACGGAGATCTCGTGCTCCTTGGTGGTGAGTTCGATCTTGGTGGTGTCGGCGGGGGTGTTGGCGTCGATGGGCTCGAACTGCTTGGTCTCCACAGTGTGCTTGGTGACGGTGGGCACGGCGTGAAGGTATGGGAGGGGGATCTGGACGTCGCGACGACGACGACGAGCTTCTTCTACAGCTGGCTCTTGTTCTTGCTTTTGGTAAATGTAAGGGAACTCTGTGGCCTTGAGAGTATCGTCGGCGTTGAGGATGTAGGGGTAAGCTTCATAGGGGTAGGCAGCGTGGTGGAAGGCATAGGGGGAAACCACGAAGGGATGTCCGAAGGGATGGGCGTAAGGGGAGACCAAAGAAACGGTCTTGAGGTCAGTCTTGACCTCAGGGGTAGTGATCAGCTTCGCTTGAGGCAGCACCCAGGGCGCCGTGTACGGCAGCACCAGCTGTGCTGAGCAACAGGATACAGCGACCAGAATCACCTATTGGAAACAAAAATATTGTGTATACGACAAGCGCTACGCTCAAATAATATCTTAGGAAAAACAAGATTACTTTAGTTTACTATATATACACACCGTTCAGTTCTCAGATCGACTGGCACACGATTTTTTCTTTTATACTACTTATAAGCAAGCGTTTTCTCCCGTATATTCAGAAGTAAACAATATAAATATGGAAAATAGACTGTGGATTTTTTTTTTCACCGAATTGGAAGTAGTTTAACACTTGTTTGAAATACTTTGTGATTGGAATATTCCTATTCTTACCAGAGCCTTCATCTTTCGAGCGAATGTGTCCTTCTGGACACTGCAATGCCTCTGCTATATATACTTCGTGGACGATGACGTCACGAGGCCACGCCCAAGTGTGTCCTTCAGGGCATTTCTTTTCGTCTTACGATGTAAGTAATAAACTGAATGTACATTTTCTATTAGTAATTTTCTAATGACTTTCATAAGCCTGTGTAAGAGCGATTGCTTACACGATCTGTTCTCTCCTGAGTAAACGTGATATTGAGGTTTAGTGACGAGGTAACTACGTATATTAATAAAAGCAGCTTTAAATTGAAGAATTCGATTTTCGCCAAATAGAATGTTTTTTTCGGACATTCTGGGCCAGCCTCATGAAAGATAGCAAGACAAAATCAATTTCATACTTCCGATAAAAGCGTCAGAGTCAAATATATTTATCTGAAGATTTTTTAGAACAAGAATTCTAGCTATTGATATCTTTGCTATCACACATTTATTCAGACGTTATATTTCTAAAGAGAGAGGGAGAAAGAAATTCAAGGAACTGGAGGGGGGGGGGGAGTGAAATTACCTGTGAAAGGATTAGTGTGGAAATTTATAATCGTTTTGGATACACGCCGCGAGTTTATATATATATATATGTGTTTAAATAGTAGATATCGTACTATTTTCCTCCTTCAGACTCAAGTATTTCAGATAGGATGTGAACGACCTAGAGGATTTCCGTAATGTGTAATGAGGAACCTGTTACTTGAAACACGTTTTAAAGATTTTGTAAAAAGTCAAATTAGTATATCGTCTTATTTCAGCAGTTGCGTCTCAGACACAGCACACATACATCTAAATAGGTCTCAAGAATCATTCAGGAAGAATGGATAGGTACATCACGTAGTAATCTGTCTATATCCATGACTATAGCTATGTATATACATGTATGTATATATACATGTATATATGCACGTGTATACATATATATACAGTATACACAAAATAATGAGTTTGAGAAACTCATATACTCATATGTTTACACCTTAAGGTCGTGCACATAAAAGGGGAAGGATCAACACATAAATTTGAATCAAAAGTCAATAGTAAATAGTAGTTACAAGAAGCCGATGTTATGTATTTAATAAGTATAGGTCGAAGTCATGTTATTCTATATGTATTGTGTAAATATTGGTAACTGTTGATAAATGTTATTATTTCCAGCAGAATTGTGAAAATTATTAAAAAAACAGCATTGTAGAAACGAGACCTGAAGATTAAATCCAAGAGGATACCTAAATTAGTTTCTCCTTTCTAATAAATTTCGTTTGTAAATTGTGTTTTTTTCTACTATTCAAAATTATGCTTATAGTTTTGTAGCAATATGCGGATAACAATGAAAATAAATGGTAAAAATGACAGAATTTTTCTGTAAGAAAGGGATATAGGGTATATCTTTTATATAACGTTTTCATGTAGCATTTATCGAGAGATTATTTCAGTTTGTAAGAATTTCATATAGCTTTTAAGGGAATATGATAAAGATATTTCACGTGATTTTAATTTTATTTCGGAAAAGGTTGATGGTTTTGGATGTACTTCTCATCATATATACATCTTTTTTGTTAGATGATATTCTGATTTGTTCTTGACTATTTGTAATTTTCAAGACTTTTTTTTAATCGTTTTCGGGAACTGTTATCTGAACTTTATTTTCTTTCATTTCACTCAAGATTGGTAAACACATCGTGTATGTTTGATGGAAACACGAATCCAATAGATGAGTTTCCATCAGAGTGTCGTTGTTTGTGAGGAAGATTAAGGAGGACAGGAAAGTTGGAGTTACTCCTCGTCAAGCTCGATGACGGGGGCGCCGACGAGGCCAGGATAGTGGGCGTACGGAAGAGCGTGGGCGTAGGGAAGGACGGCGTGGGAGAGAGCAGTGTAGGAGAGCAGTGTAGGTGACGGGCTTGACGTTGACCACGGGCTGCTTGGTGGTGGGCTCGATCTTGGTGGTGTCGGCGGGGGTGTTGGCGTCGATCGGCTCGAACTGCTATATATACTTCGTGGACGATGATGTCACGAGGCCACGTCCAAGTGTGTCCTCCAGGGCATTTCTTTTTGTCTTACGGTGTAAGTAATAAACTGAATGTACATTTGTTATCAGTCATGTTCTTATGACTTTCATAAGCCTTTGTAAGAACTCACGAGCAACGATTGCTTTGAAAGTCGATCTG